CTAGCTGCTTCAAAACAGTAACTAGTTCTATTGTTTATGAGAGGTTGCTTCCATCTTCATTGTCATGAAAAGGTATAGAAGAAAGAGGCAGAAAAACTGCATAGGGGCTACATATGTGAGCCAAGAAGACATCTCCTCAAAGTACTAAGAATGGAAAATTCCATGCTTCTCAACAAACTAAATTAAAGGGGTAATATTTTAACAGATGTTTTTGCTTTGCCTCTGATTTGAAAGCAAAATGGACATAGTTTAAAAATCTAGAGAAGTAAATACTATTTTCTATATAGAAGTTTGGGATGAGGAGATGAAAATAGAAGCCACTACTTCTTTTCTTCTTCCAGATGCAAGCTAGACCTCTCACTGATGATCATCCCAAAGTTTCATTCTTGGAGCCACTAGTTTATCCAGTTCATGTACATCTTATGAGAAGGATTCTTGTGATGTTTTCAGATAGAGTATGTATTGTGCAATTGTCTATGCATGATTTAGAGGTAGCAACAGGAAGCCACTAGGAATTATGATCAGTTTGGTGACGTTTTCCTCCCATCACTTATATCAGGTATGGCCAATAGGAAACCATAGGGAGAGCTATAAGATCTAGGACCTTAAACTGGAAAAGGACAATTCTAGTTCACATTTCTCCTCAACGGCTTCTAACACTACCTGTCAGTGGTATTATAAGCAGCACAGCCTCATTATCCATGATAATTCAGAAATCTATACCTTCCAGTATGCTATGTAAAGTAGCACAGATGATGAGAGTCATTCATAGAACCTCAGCAATTATGTTTTCATGGTTAAATTGATTTATAATATAGAATTTCACTTCCAGAGAACCAGTTGGGTTTTTCCTTCCAGAAGACATAGACTTCAGTAAATATATGCCTGAAGAAAAGCCTTAAGTGAAGGCATCATTCTGCCTGTCGATCAAGAAGGTATAACCGAGGAGCTTCCTGTGACAGCAGCGGCGATGGTGGCTGTTTTCAGCCGTCTGCCCTGGAATGTGTCAAAGCCAGCTGAGACAGCGAGCAACAGCAGTCTCGTGGCTTGGAATCTGTCTCCCTGGGCGAAGGGGAGGAGATGAGTTTCCCTCGGATAGTGGCAGGGCTCCCTGAGAGACCCCAAAGTTTTTTTTTCTTTGGTGGTCGGAGGGTGAGAGCTCCCACGGAGTCTGAGGCGTTCTCCACATTCCAGGATGCCTTTGCTCTAATTTTTTTTGGGGGGCAAAGCTAGACGCTGCTTACACATCTGCTTTCAAAATGAACTTGTGAGTAAAATTTAAAGCAGACAGAGCTGACCAGGGAGATTATATCTGTGATTATTTTGAGACTTTAACTCTGGAAAAGATTTCATCTTCTCTCTTTTCTTATTTGAGAGGGGTGAAAAATGGCACTGAGATGTTGTTTTTAAGAGTGAAAGGACCGGAACTTTAATTTGAAATAATGTAACAGCTTTCTTTTTTCTTCTTTTTTTTATTTACACAGGGGGCTTTTGTTGTTTTTTTTCCCTCCTTTTGTCTTCTTTTCTCTCTCTCTTTGTTAAAGGTTTTATAAGATTTTAAGAGTTTTTTTTTTTTCAAGATGGCTTCAAAGCATTTTGGAGCTTTTGTTTCTAAAGCCTCAATCTCCTCTTCGGTAATGCAGACAGCTCAGCAAGTCAAGTCTAAATTTCCACCACTTTTCTCAACTTTACCAGCAGTTTTACCTAAAGACTTACAGGATGCTTTGGAAGATAGTGTACGACGGATTGAAAAAGAGATAAGTGAAATTATTGAAAATAAATTTAGGAAATTGAGAGAAGATATAGCGTCTGTGCTTCAGAGGTTTGCTGATCACATAGATCACTTGGATCAGCCTATTGACGTTGCTGTAGAAAATTCTGAAAAATTGGAAGATAAAATCGAAAATAAGGTGGAAATAATTCAGGATGAAATTACTATGTTACAATACAGAAGTATGGAGTTTGCTTTAAGAATAAGGGGAATGCAGGAAAATAATCAACAAGATTTGAGACAAGTGGTTGCAATGGATATAGCTCTTATTTTGGAATCCGAGCCTGAAGAAATATTGAGAGAGACAGAAAAAGTTTTTAGGGTTAATTCAAGGGTTGCAAGACAGAGCAATCTGCCACGAGATGTGGTTATTTATTTTTTTAGTAGATCACTTCATAATAAAATTTTACAAGCCTTTTACAAGCAGAGATTTCAAATTGCAGCCCAGGATGTTATACTTCTAAAAGAACTACCTTCAAGAATTCTCAAAGTAAGAAAGCATTTTGCTTTTTTGGCTGATGAGCTTAAGAGGCGACAGATTCGTTTCAGATGGGAGATACTGGCTGGAATAGTGGTGAATTATGCAGGGACACGCTACAGACTTGATACAATTTTAAAAGCGAAAGATTTTTATACTTCTGTTTTGAAGGCGGGCTCTTTATTACCTACAGCTGAGATATTAGAAGAAAAGTTGGAAGAGCAATTGATAGAAGATATGCAGGTTAAACCTTTGCAACAATCTCTCTTGACAGAAGATTCATTAATGAAATTGAGTACTTGTGGAGCTTTTAGAAGTAAAATAAAGGTGGAAGAAAAGCTGTAAGAGCAGCTGATTGGAAAAAATATGCAGGTTGAACCTTTGCACCAGTCCTCCTTAACAGAAGATTCATCAAAGAAATTGGGCATGACTCGCGCAGCGTTTAGAACTGAGGTATTAGAAGAAAAGTTGGAAGAGCAACTGATAGAGGATTCGCAGGTTAAACCTTTGCAACAATCTTTTTTGACAGAAGATTCATTAATGAAATTGAGTACTTGTGGACCTTTTAGAAGTAAGATAAAGGTGGAAGAAAAGCCGGAAGAGCAGCTGATTGAAGAAGATATGGAGGTTGTACCTTTGCAGCAGTCCTCTTCAACAGAAGATTTATCAAAGAAATGACTCGTGCAGTTTTGTGTCTGGATACAGATGAATGATTTTTGAGTCATCACAGCATGGTTCTAGTGGAGAAAAGGTGACGTATTTCCTACATATGTTGGACATTCCAGATGAATTATACACTACCCATGATTCAACAGATCACTTCTTTTCATTATTTCTCCAATCATGTCCCCCCTCCCTAAAACAGGAATGTCCCAATGCTTCATGTGATAGCTATTCCGCCACTATTTCCTAGCTTTTTAAGAAATGGACCCATCAGCCACATAGTCAGATGAACAGAACAGAACAAAACAGAACAGAATAGCTTTGTTGGCCATGTTTTATCGGACACACAAGGAATTTGTCTCTGGTGCATAAACTCTCAATGTACATACAAATAACAAAGTAATCTAATCATAAGACACCCATAAGATAATATAATAGAAAAGATAAGCTATATCCTTAGACATAAGTCAGTAAGACATAAGACAGTATTGTGGGAATTACGTGTTTTAGCAGAAGCACCCAATTCCCACAATAACTCCCCCACAGAAAGAAGTGGGAAGGTGAGATTGAGCATCATGAATGCTCAAGAGGAAGAGTTGTATTCAACTAGAAAATTAATTTAGTTTTAAATACAGCCTAATTATTCATTTAAAATGTTTACATAGCTGCCCATCTTATAACCAACTTTCAATTCAATTCAATCCAATCCAACCTAACCCAATACCATTTTAATCCAATCCAATCCCATCCTGACTTTGCTAATACCTTTTGCATTGTGTGCTTCAAAAAGTAACAAAGCCTGTATCATAGTTACATATCACAGAGGTTGGGTTCACAGAGGTTAAGTCAAAAGCAAACCACAACAAAACTTGGTATGTTGCATGACAGAGAACAAAATAAAGCACAAATTATGAAGAACATGAGGACAATGATTTTCGCTGTCTTTGGGTTTGACATCAATAAAGGAAGCAGATACAGAATACTTGAGGGGTCCTTGGTGCTCTCTGAGCTGGTTCATTTTCTTGAAGACATTTCATTACCCAAACTAGGTAACCTGCTCAGTTACCTAGTAATACTTGGGGTATTGTTTACTTGATTATTGGTCTGATGTTAATATTGAAGTTAATCTATGCTGATCTGGGTGCTGGTTGCTGGTGGAGAGGTGCCTGTTAATGTCTTTTCAATAGACACATAGACATTAACAACATCTATAGACTATGCAAAAGGGACTATCACCCAGCCCAAGAAGATGGAAAAACACCCAAGCACTTCTCCATCAGCGATCAGCACCCAGAAAAGCATAGATTAACTCCAAGTTTAAAATCAGACCAACAGTCAAGTAAAAAATACACCAATCAAGAAACTGCCAATGAAGCCAATAGCAAACAGCCCAATCAAAGAATCTCTAAGACCATTCCCACCAACACAGACAGGCAAGCCACTAGCAATAGCAATAGCAATTAGACTTATATACCGCTTCACAGTGCGTTACAGCCTTCTCTAAGCAGGTTACAGAGTCAGCATATTGCCCCCAACAATCTGGGTCCTCGTTTTACCAATCTTGGAAAGATGGAATGCTGAGTCAACCTTGAGTCGGTGAGACTCGAACTGCCAAATTGCTGGCAACTAGCAGTCTGCAGAAGTAGCTGCAGTACTGTATTATAACCACTGCACCACCTTGGCTCTGAAATATAGAGTAGAAGAGGGGTCTTCAAACCTGGCCCTTTTATGACTTGTGGACTTCAACTCCCAGAATTTTTCAGCCAAGTACGCTGGCTGAGGAATTCTGGGACTTGAAGTCCACAATTCATAAAAGGGCCAAGTTTGAAGACCCCCTGGAGTAGAATATACACTAGAACAGGGGTCCTCAACCATGGCAACTGTAAGACTTGTGGACTTCAACTCCCAGAATTCCTCAGCCAGCAAAGCTAGTCTAGAATATAAACTGACAGCAAACCTCACTCCTTACTAGCACTAATGATGTTACCTAGTTTGGGTAATGAAACCTCTGCAAGGAAACAAGCAAGCTCAGAGAGCAACAAGGATCCCTCAGGTCAACGCTGAGCTACAAATATTCTCCTTTATTAGTAAGAGAATACTTGATATGGATTCCTTACAATGCATTTCTTTGCTCTTGGGGAATCTTCATGAGCAAGACTTGAATCCCTCTTATACTAAATGCTTCAGAACAGTAACTAGTTCCATTGCCTATGAGAGGTTGCTTCTGTGTTCATTGCCATGAAATGTTATTGAAGACCAAGACAGAGACATTGCAGGGAAGGTACATCCATGAGCCAAGAAGATGAGGCATCTTCTCAAAAGCCCTGAGAATGGAGAATGTTATGCTTCCCAAACACTGAATTAAGAGGTAATATTTTAACAGATGCTTTTGCTTTGCCTCTGATTTGTAGGCATAATGAAACACAGTTTAACCATGTACAAAATGGCTTCTACCAGCAGAAATTAATATGAGACAATAGCATAACATCATAATAATGATAGGAATACTTTTATATGTAGATGGCAAGGGGTGAAAATGTTAGGCATTAAAAAAGGGAATAAAATAAAATAAAATAAAAAAGTTCCTTTTTTATCCCAATACTTTTTTCAGTATTGGAGTACCATAACTTCTGGAGGCAAGTTGTTCCACTGATTAATTTTTTTTCACTGTCAAGAAATTCTCCTTAGTTCTAGGTTACTTCTCTCTTTGTTCAGTTTGCATCCATAGTTTCTTGTCTTGCGTTCTGGTGCTTTGGAGAATAGCTTGACCCCCCACTTGTTTGTGGCAGCACCTTAAATATTGGAACACTGCTATCGTGTCATCCCTAGTCCTTCTTTTCATTAGACTAGATGTACCCAGTTCCTGCATGCATTTTAATCATCTTTATCTGTTCACATTGATTCTGTTAACAATCCTCTGTTCCCATTCATTTTAGGTAAAAAAAAAAATTGAAAGAGAATTTGAACCCATCTCAGAAGAACAGTCTGGAGAACTTTCAGCAAAGGTGAGATAACCAAAATATCATCATCCAGAAACAGATATTTCCATGTCCACAAGGATGAATTGTTTTTGACAGGCTGAAACATGGAGGGGTCCCTTGTAGCTCCACTTGGATTAACCACATTCAGAAGTAGACTACAGTGAAGAATTGTCCTGTTTGGAATAACATATTAGAAGAATTGTGGTATAATTCAAAGCATCAGGTTTTTAACTTCTCTTTGATTTTTAATGCAAACAATGGAAACAGATCAGCTGATGCTTATTTGAAACATGCAATTAAAAGAAGAATGGGGATTTGGAAATTAATATCTTCACTCTATTTTTAGGAATGAACTAATGGCAAATAGGACCACAATAAAGGAATTCACACTGTTGGGGCTGAATGCCAACCCTCCACTTGAACTTAGTCTTTTTCTCCTCCTGCTTGGGACTTATCTTTTGACATTAATAGGAAACACACTGATTGTTATTATAACACTTGTGAATGTTCAACTCTGTAGCCCAATGTATTTCTTCCTCCGACATTTGGCATGGGTAGATACTGTGTATATGAGTACTATAATTCCCAAAGCACTGGTCAACATAGCTACTGATACTAAGAGCATCTCTTTAGCTGGTTGTTTCATACAGGTATTTCTTTATTTGGTCCTTGGCACCACTGCGTTCTTCCTACTGGCCACAATGTCTGTTGATCGCTACATAGCCATCTGCAACCCTCTTCACTACACAACCATCATGAATCCCCGAATCTGCTCATTATTAGTATTTTCTTGTTTGGTTGGGGGGTTATCACTAATTCTAGTTATATCCATTCCTTTATTTCTTATGCCATTTTGTGGTCCTAATGTCATGAATCATTTTTTTTGTGACTATGGACCCCTAATGAAGCTGGTATGTGTTGACACCAGCTTCCTAGAAATGACTTATTTTGTAGTTGCCATATTCAGTCTGCTTGGGACCTTAAGTGTCAACATTGTCTCTTATGTCAAAATCATTTCCACCATTCTGCATATTCCATCAGCTACTGGGAGGAAGAAGACCTTCTCCACTGTTGCTTCTCACATGACCATGGTCACTATCACTTACAGCAGTTGTATTTTCATGTATGTCAAGCCAAAAGGCACCATTGGATTAGACTACAACAAAATAGTGGCTCTTCTGAATACTGTTATCACTCCCTTTATCACGCCAATCGTGTATTCTTTGAGGAACAGACAACTGCAGGATGCTTTGAAGGCTGAACTGAGACAAAGGATTGGTTTTGTAAAAAAAATGAGATGATTGGCTATTGCTAGGGCTCCGAAAAAGATGTTCAGATTTAATGTCTTTGAATGGATTGTGCTGCCTTCAGATGTAATAATTACCCATTGAGATGGTCTTACAAGGGGATTAGAGAAAGCATAGAGTAGTGGTGGCAAACCTATGGCATGCATGCCAGAGGGGACACTCAGAGATCTCTCTATGGGCATGCATGCCTCACTCTTTGGCTAGGTTTTTGCAGGAAAAAAGCCATTTCTCAAGCCCCTTTGTAGCCAAAACAAGCCTCTGGAGCGAGCATGCTCTTTTCAGCTTTGAATTATATCAAATCTGACACCAGAAACAGACTAATAGATGACCTGAGTGCGGCATATGTTGCTTTCAAACTTACAAAGTATAAGCCAAGGTTAGACAAATTATCAGCATGCATACAACAACAAAAATCACATTAATGGTCCAAAAGCATGCCTAATGCAAACTGTTTACCTTTCAATAAAAAGTTGTTTGTATCATTGAAAGCTTTGTTATGGTGTTTTTCTTTTAAGACAAAAGATGTTAATCTATGAGTTGTTTTTTCTAAACTAAAACCTCAGTATTCAGATTAAATTGTGGTGTTGGCACTTTGCAATAAATAAGTGGGTTTTGGGTTGCAGTTTGGGCACTCGGTCTCTAAATGTTTCACTGTCACTGGCATAGAGGATGGGATAATCAAGAATAAAAACATCTGATTGACATCAAAGGCCAAATACCTGAAAAAAATGGTTTGCTACTGAAGAACAATGGAAAAAGACAATTGCCCATCTTTCCTGGTTGTCCATTTATAAAACACATCTGGTTGTACATTATGTGACCTAGGAGACATGAGAGCTTCACCGAATGCATCCTCAAAGCTCTTACCATCTTCAGAAGCAGACCATACAGCCACCATCTCCTGATTGTTTCTTGGGTTTAAGTATATTTTATTAGTTGGCACTCTGTGTGGATCATATGCAATACAATATAGTACAATAAGATATTTGGTTTTGGTTTACTTATGGAGTCAATACTGGGGAATGTAGCTATCCCTCTTGATGTTTATCCCAGAGTAGAATAACTGAACTGGAGAATGAAGCTCAGTGATTATAGAATATCAGCAGGCAATGCTCCCATTGATAAAGCTGAATGTAACAGAAAATACATAGTAAAGGCATGAAACATGAGATCTAGAGCAAGAGAATGTTGCCAATATAGAAATTAATGGTTGTAAGGTGTTCATAGTCACCTTAATGTGAGGTGGGCAGTAAACTTGGTTTAATAAATAAAATGAATAAAATAAGTATCTAATTAAGCGGTTTTGTTGGTTAATTCAAACCAAACCACAAGAATAAGGACTTTTTAAATTATAGCATCTTATTTCTCAAGACCTATCAAGAATTCATGCAAAGTTGCTTTGGGAAATTGGAGAAAGATGGTAGACAAGACCTCCTTTCCTTTATCTTGCTCAATATAACTCATAGTTCTCATTTATAAAAAAAATTTGGTATCCAAATAGCTAGCAAAGGTTGAAAGTAGAGGGAAGTTCTTGAATGTCTCAGAATGCAAGCAAAACTACAGTTAAATAAAAGAAATATGAGTCCAGATCAGAAATGGACATTGATGTCCAAGTCTGATCATGATTTGTGATGCTCTGGAATTCTCCCTGAAATAATTTCTGTCTGAATTCACTGTCCCACTGGGAGACTCAGTTTTATTACCAATGATAAATGGAATTAGACACAGCCAAGTCCATTTGATTCCTACCATTTTCAATGAGTTTTGTAAATGTGTGCTTGAAACACTTGAAATTCATTGAGAGAGAACTGATTTGTATTATTAGAGATGAATGGAATGGCTAATCAAATAAATCCTCAACTCAAGTGAAGACTTCCCTTGGAACATGCACACAATGGTCTTCTCTGTCTTTGGGTTTGACATTAACAATAGAGGGAGATACAGAATACTTGATACAGATTCCTTGCAATGCATTTCTCTGCATTGAGATGTCCCTGAGGGATCTTCACAAGTCAGTCTTGAATTCTTCTTATACCACATGCTTCAGAACTGTAACTAGCTCTATTGAATATAAGATGTTGTTTCTGTGTTCTTTGATATGGAAAGATATTAAAGATGAAGGCTGAGAGGTTGCAGAAGGGGTACATCGATAAGCGAAGAAGACAAGACTTCTTTTCAAAAGCCCTGCGAATGGAGAATGCTATGCCTCCCAAATGGCTTTTATGTAGATTGCAAGGAGCAAAAAATATTTTGCATCCGAAAAATAACTTAGGAAGCAAAATTTGATAGCTAGCTGCTTCAAAACAGTAACTAGCTCTATTGTTTATGAGAGGTTGCTTCCATCTTCATTGTCATGAAAAGGTATAGAAGAAAGAGGCAGAAAAACTGCATAGGGGCTACATATGTAAGCCAAGAAGACAAGACATCTCCTCAAAGTACTAAGAATGGAAAATGCCATGCTTCTCAACAAACTGAATTAAAGGGGTAATATTTTAACAGATGTTTTTGCTTTGCTTCTGATTTGAAAGCAAAACAGACATAGTTTAACAATCTAGAGAAGTAAATGCTATTTCTATATTATTAAACTGTAGTGATTTTGCTTACAGAACTAAGCAAAATAAGCAAAGCATAAATAAGATGATAAAATGGCATAAGGATCTCAAAAATTGTGAATGCTACAATGATTGATATGATTCCCAGTGGTGAAAATATTATGACCATATGCACTGCAAGCTAGAAAAACCAGGCCTAATATCATTAAAGTTTGATGCCACTAGAATAAATAAATTTACTTACAAACTTTACTCTCTGGAGAACCCATTAGCAAATGTCTCCAAGGGCATATCTCAACTTATACTTTTTAAATGCTGATTTATTTAACTGATTGTTAAAGATGGATATTGCTGCCTTGGAATTAATCATATGCTGAGTTTATTTATCGGGAAAAAGTGTCACAGGATGGAGGAAAATAAAAACATATCCTATGTGTAGGCACATCCATCAGAATGCCAGTCTAAAAAAGACTAAATTGGAAGTGACCACATGAGATCTTCCTGCTGAAAGTTTGGGATATGGAGATGAAAATAGGAACCACTACTTCTTTTCTTCTTCCAAATGCAAGCTAGACCTCTCACTGATGATCATCCCAAAGTTTCATTCTTGGGGCCACTAGATTCTCCCAGTTCATGTACACCTTATGAGAAGGATTTTTGTGATGTATTCAGATACAGTATGTATTGTGCAATTGTCTATGCATGATTCAGAGGTAGCAACAGGAAGCCACTAGGAATTATGATCAGTTTGGTGACGTTGTCCTCCCATCACTTATATCAGATATGGCCAATAGGAAATCATAGGAAGAGCTATAAGGTCTAGGACCTTATACTGAGAAAAGGACAGTTCTAGTTCACATTTGTCCTCAATGGCTTCTAACTCTACCTGTCACAGGTATTATAAGCAGCACAGCCTCATGATCCATGATAATTCAGAAATCTATACCTTCCAGTATGCTATGTGAAGTAGCACAGATGATGAGACTCATTCACAGAACCTCAGCAATTATGTTTTCATGGTTAAATTGATTTATAATGTAGAATTTCACTTCCAGAGAACCAGTTGGGTTCCTCCTTCCAGAAGACATAGACTTCAGTAAATACATGCCTGAAGAAAAGCCTTAAGTGAAGGCATCATTCTGCCTGTCAATCAAGGAGGCATAACTGACAGCATTAAATAGAAAGATGCAAAACTCCATTGATAGAAGATAGTACAGGAGGGAATGGATATTTTCACATCAATGTCATCCAAGAGATTTTATCTTATTATTGCAAGCTCTGCATGACTTAAAAGAAATGTCTTTTATGGTCAGTGTGTTTTACCTGTACCAATAGAAGAACTGAAAGCCACTTGCAGTAAGTTAAAAGAGTTCCTACATGGTTCTCTTAATGTTCCCCTAGTGTGATTTTGAGTTCTGCATATTTTGTTGAATATACTTACTTAAAGAATACTTTACTTGGCCAAGTGTCATTTATCTCTGGTGTAGAAGCTCTCGGTGTTTAAAGGAATGGAATGGAATGGAGTAGAGTAGAGTAGAGTAGAGTAGAGTAGAGTAGAGTAGAGTAGAGTAGAGTAGAGTAGAATAGAGTAGAATAGAATAGAATAGAATAGAATAGAATAGAATAGAATAGAATAGAATAGAATAGAATAGAATAGAATAGAATAGAGTTGGAAGGGACCTTGGAGGTCATATAGCCCAACCCCCAGCTCAGGCAGGAAACCCTATACCATTTCAGACAAATAGTTGTCTAATCTCTTCTTTAAAACTTTCAGTGTTGGGGCATTCACAACTTCTGGAGGCAGGTTGTTCCACAGATTAATAGTTTTAACTGTCAGGAAATTTCTCCTTAGTTCTAGGGTGCTTCTCTCCTTGATTAATTTCCATCCATTGCCCCTTGTCCAGTCCTCAGGTGTTTTGGAGAATAGCCTGACCTCTTCTACTTTGTGGAAAGAGGTTTATATACAGGACTGTATATTTATATACTTATATAAAAAGAAGTATCTTCATATACTTCTCTATAAAGGCATTAATTTTATAGACAGTCTTTGGTCATGAAATATGGGAAAGAATAATTTGAGTGAATATCATATAATAGTAGCAATGCCACCTTCCTCCATAAAAACAAGTTTTTGTTTTATTAAAAACCACACACAGTGACTGAAAAACAATGATCCAACCAAAATATATTCTTTTGCAGAGTTATATTTTGAAGGAAGGTTGACCAACAGTTCTCAGTTTCTGCTTCTTGAGAGAAGTCATTTCAGTGCTGGTACATTTCTTTCAGAAGAGGCATGATCTCTTGACTTCAGAAGGCTGGGGGGATTTTTCATGAGAGGTCTCTAGTTTTGAACTTGGGACTTAAGAGAAGAAGGCAAAATATATATTTTCTAATGACACCAATCTGCAGTGCGTTGTTACTTTGTTTGATTTTTCTCCACCAGCAAATTCGCAATGAGAACTAGGACTCAGAACAGCACAACACAAGTGACAGAATTCATCTTAATTGGCTTCCAACTACCTAGGCCCATGGAATTCTTTCTTTTTTCATTGCTTCTGGTTGTGTTTTTCTTCACCTTAGCTGGAAACCTCATGATTATCACTCTGGTATGCATAGACCAATGCTTGCAAACCTCTATGTATTTCTTCCTTTTCAACCTCTCCTTTTTGGAGATATTTTTTGTTCTGACAATCACACCAAAGATGATGATGGATTTAGTTTCTCAGAACAAATCTATCTCTTTCTTGGGCTGCATCAGTCAATGCTATTCTTATTTCTTCCTGATTGCCGTAATGGCCTTTGACCGCTACATTGCTATCTGTCATCCGTTGCGCTACACGATCATCATGAATGGACGGGTTTGTGTGAATTTGATATTGGTGTGCTGGATTGGTGCTTTCATGAATAATTTTGGCCCCATTGTTCTCCTGAGCCAACTATCCTTCTGCAGCTCTAACGTTATTGATCATTTCTTCTGTGACTATGCTCCACTGATAAAGCTTTCTTGCAATGATGTAGATACTCTCCTGACTCTGGAATCTACCCTCTCTCCTCTAGTGTTACTCAGCTCTTTGTGTGTAACTGTCATCTCCTATCTCTACATAATTGTGACTGTCTTGAGCATGCAGATCAGTGGCAGCCGTGGGAAGACTTTTTCAACCTGTGCCTCTCATCTAACTGTCGCTTCCATCTTCTACGGCAGTGCCATCTTCATGTACTCTTTGCCCAGCAAGGGTCATTCTCGGGATGCCCAGAAAGCTGTGGCAGTTCTAACTGCTGTGGTCACCCCATTACTGAACCCTTTTATTTACACTTTGAGGAATGAGAAGGTCAAAGATGCTTTCCGAGACTGTTTGCAAAGGCACAAACGTATTTTGTGAGAAGAAACCATTGGAAACACTTAGCCAACCTTGGCTAATCTCAAACAAATCAACATAGAGTTGGAGTTTGTTGATACATGGATAAGAGAACTATCACCTACTGCTGTAGTCTAGATTGGGATCTCAAAAATACATTCCAGAAGAGCACAATGAAAAAAGAGCTTCTGTGCTGCTACTAGAAGAATAGCATGGGTATGGCCACAGTTACATCAGAGTTAAATTTTGTGAAAGGTGGTTTTTATATTATGATGGATTGTTCAGGACTTGGAAAGAATCTGTGTACATTTTGATGCTTTGAAATTGTTGCATTTTTATTCCTAGTTGTAATCCTGATCTTGAATGAAGACTAGCACTGAAATTCTCCTCTATTGGGACTAGAATTCTTGTTTGGCTGTTCCTTAGATCTCAGCACTCTTGTTTGATCTTTCACCTTCTTGGCTTTTAATTTCTAAGTTACTATTAGAAAAATGTAACTGGTGACGTAGTTTCAAATATATGTGTAAGTATGCAAGGAACAGAATTATTTTCACCCACATAATGTGAAACTATCACATCCTCCTTTTGAAAAAAATATATTTTGGGTTGCAGTATCAATAGTATTTAAGAAAAAAAACCAGCTGACATAAATTGATTTGTTTCCTAATTATAATTTAAGTCTTATATGAGAAATATTTGCAAATCGGGAACAGAACAGAAATGATATAAACAAATAATGATGTATATTTAGAGGTATGCAACTATGGAAGCTGGGAGGAAATAAGTAAGGTGTTGTGTCTGGATACAGATCAATGATTTTTGAGTCATCATAGCAGACTTCTAGTGGAGAAAAGGTGACGTATTTCCTACATATGTTGGACATTCTAGATGGATTATACATTACCCATGATTCAATATATCACTTCTTTTCATTATTTCTCCAATCATGTCCTCCCTCCCTAAAACAGGAATGTCCCAATTCTTCGTGTGATAGCTATTCCGCCACTATTTCCTAGTTTTATAAGAAAAGGACCCACCAGCCACATAGTCAGATGAACAGAACAGAACAGAACAGAATAGTTTTGTTGGCCAAGTTTTATCAGACACACAAGGAATATCTCTGGGGTGCATAAACTCTCAATGTACATACAAATAACAAAGTAATCTAATCATAAGACACCCATAAGAGAACGTAATAGAAAAGATAAGCTATATCCTTAGACATAAGTCAGTAAGACATAAGACAGTATTGTGGGAAATACGTGTTTTAGCAGAAGCACCTAATTCCCACAATAACTCCCCCACAGAAAGAAATGGGAGAGTGAGATTGAGCATCATGAATGGTCAAGAGGAAGAGTTGCATTCAACTAGAAAATTAATTTGGTTTTAAATACAGCCTAATTATTTATTTAAAATGTTTACATAGCCGTCCATCTTATAAACAACTTTCAATTCAATCCAATCCAACCTAACACAATATCATTTTAATCCAATCCAATCCCATCCTCAGTTTGCTAACACTCTGTGCTTCAAAAAGTAACAAAGCCTGTATCATAGTTACATATCACAGAGGTTGGGTTCACAGAGGTTAAGTCAAAAGCAAACCACTACAAAACTTGGTATGTTGCATGACAGAGAACAAAACAAAGCACAAAGTAAGAGGAACATGAGCACAATGATTTTCTCTGTCTTTGGGTTTGACATCAATAAAGGCAGCAGAAACAGAATACTTGAGGGGTCCTTGGTGCTCTCTGAGCTTGTTCATTTTCTTGCAGACATTTCATCACCCAAACTAGGTAACCTTCTCAGTTACCTAGTAATACTTGGGGTATTGTTCACTTGATTATTGGTCTGATGTTAACATTGAAGTTAATCTATGCTGATCTGGGTGCTGGGTGCTGGTGGAGAGGTGCTTGTTAATGTCTTTTCAATAGATACATAGACATTAACAATATCTATAGACTAAGCAAAAGGGACTATCACCCAGCCCAAAAAGACGCAAGAAGACCCAATCACTTCTCCATCAGCAATCAGCATCCAGAAAAGCATAGATTAACTCCAAGGTTAAAATCAGACCAACAGTCAAGTAAACAATTCCCCAATCAAGAAACTGCCAATGAAGCCAATAGCAAACAGCCCAATCAAAGAATCTCTAAGACCATCCCCACCATCACAGACAGGAAAGTCACTAGCAATAGCAATAGCAATTAGACTTATATACCACTTCACAGTGCTTTACAGCCTTCTCTAAGCAGTTTACAGAGTCAGCATATTGCCCCCAACAATCTGGGTCCTCATTTTACCAACCTTGGAAGGATGGAAGACTGAGTCAACCTTGAGCCAGTGAGACTCAAACTGCCTAATTTCTGACAGCTAGCATTGAGCTGAAGTAGCGACAATACTGCATTATAACCACTGCACCACCTCGGCTCTGTAATATAGAGTAGAACAGGGGTCTTCAACTTGGCCCTTTTATGACTTGTGGACTTCAACTCCCAGAATTCCTCAGCCAGGTACGCTGGCTGAGGAATTCTGGGACTTGAAGTCCACAAGTCATAAAAGGGCCAAGTTTGAAGACCCCTGGAGTAGAATATACACTAGAACAGGGGTCCTCAACCATGGCAACTTTAAGACGTGTGGACTTCAACTCCCAGAATTCCTCAGCCAGCAAAGCTAGTCTAGAATATAAACTGACAGCAAACCCCACTCCTTACTAGCACTAATGATGTTACCTAGTTTGGGTAATGAAATGTCTGCAAGGAAACAAGCAAGGTCAGAGAGCACCAAGAATCCCTCATGTCAACACTGAGCTACAAATATTCTCCTTTATTAGTAAAAGAATACTTGCTACAGATTCCTTGCAATGCGTTTCTTTGCTCCTGGGGGATCTTCAGGAACAAGACTTAAAACTCTCTTATACCATATGCTTCAGAATAGTAACTAGTTCCATTCCTATGAGAGGTTGCTTCTGTGTTCATTGCCATGACATGTTATAGAAGACAAAGAGACATTGAAGAGGAAGTACACCCATGAGCCAAGAAGATGAGGCATCTTCTCAAAAGCCCTGAGAACGGAGAACGTTATGCTTCCCAAACACTGAATTAAGAGGTAATAGTTTAACAGATGCATTTGCTTTGCCTCTGATTTATAGGCATAATGAAACACAGTTTAACCATCTACAAAATGGCTTCTATCAGCAGAAATTAAAATGAGACAATAGCATAACATCATAACAATGATATGAATACTTTTACATGTAGATTGCAAGGGGTGAAAATGTTAGGCATCAAAAAATTCTTTTTTCAGTATTGGAGTACCACAACTTCTGGAGGCAAGTTGTTAAACTGATTAATTTTTTTCACTGTCAAGAAATTCTCCTTAGGTTTAAGTTACTTCTCTCTTTGTTCAGTTTGCATCCATTGTTTCTTTTCTTGCCTTCTGATGTTTTGGGGAATAGCTTCACATTTCGCTGTCGCTGGCATAAAGGATGGGATAATCAAGAATGGAAGCATCTGATTGACATTGACATGGCTCTTCTGAATACTGTTATCACTCCCTTTCTCATCCCAATCGCATACTCTTTGAGGAACAGACAAGTGCAGGATGCTTTGAAGGCTGAACTGAGACAAAGGATTGGTTTTGTAAAAAAATGAGATGATTGGCTATTGCTAGGGCTCCAAAATAGATGTTCAGATTTAATGTCTTTGAATGGATTGTGCTGCCTTCAGATGTAATAATTACCCATTGAGATGGTCTTACAAGGGGATTTGAGAAAGCATAGAGGATGGGGTAATCAAGAATAGAAACATCTGATTGACATCAAAGGCCAAATCCCTGAAAAAATTGGTTTGCTAGTGAAGAACAATGGAAAAAGACAATTGCCCATCTTTCCTGGTTGTCCATTTACAAAACACATCTGGTTGCACATTATGTGACCTAGGAGACATGAGAGCTTCACCGAATGCATCCTCAAAGCTCTTACCATCTTCAGAAGCAGACCATACAGCCACCATCTCCTGATTGTTTCTCGGGTTCCAGTATGTTTTATTAGTTGGCACTCTGTGTGGATCATATGCAATACAATACAGTACAATAAGATATTTGGTTTTGGTTTACTTATGGAGTCAATACTGGTGAATGTAGCTATCCCTCTTGATGTTTATCACAGGGTAGAATAACTGAACTGGAGAATGGAGCTCAATGATTATAGAATATCAGCAGGCAATGCTCCCATTGATTATAGAATATCAGCAGGCAATGCTCCCATTGATAAAGCTGAATGTAACAGAAAATACATAGTAAAGGCATGAAACATGAGATCTAGAGCTAGAGAATGTTGCCAATATAGAAATTAATGGTTCTAAGGTGCTCATAGTCACCTTAATCTGAGCTGGGCAGTAAATTTGGTTTAATAAATAAAATGAATAAAACAAGTATCTAATTATGCGGTTTTGTTGGTTAATTCAATCCAAACCACAAGAATAAGGACTTTTTAAATTATAGCATCTTATTTCTCAAGACCTATCAAGAATTCATGCAAAGTTGCATTGGGATATTGGAGAAAGATGGTAGACAAGACCTCCCTTCCTTTATCTTGCTCAATATGACTCATAGTTCTCATTTATAAACATTTTTTGGTATCCAAATATCTAGCAAAGGTTGAAAGCAGAGGGAAGTTCTTGAATGTCTCAGAATGCAAGCAAAACTACAGTTACCGTAAATAAAAGAAATATGAGTCCAGATCAGAAATGGACATTGACGTCCAAGTCTGATCATGTTCTGTGATGCTCTGGAATTCTCCCTCAAATAATTTCTGTCTGAATTCACTGTCCCACTGGGAGGCTCAGTTATATTACCAATGGCCAATGGAATTAGACACGGCCAAGTCCATTTGATTCCTACCATTTTCAATGAGTTTTGTAAATGTTTGCTTGAAATACTCAAAATTGATTGAGAGAGAAGTGATTTGTATTATTAGATCTGAATTGAATAGCTAATCAAATAAATCCGCAACTGAAGAAAAGACATCCCTTGGAACATGCACACAATGGTCTTCTCTGTCTTTGGGTTTGACATTAATAATAGAGGGAGATACAGAATACTTGATACAGATTCCTTGTAATGCATTTCTCTGCATTGAGATGTCCCTGAGGGATCTTCACAAATCAGTCTTGAATTTTTCTTATACCACATGCTTCAGAACTGTAACTAGCTCTATTAATTATAAGATGTTGTTTCTGTGTTCTTTGATATGGAAAGATATTAAAGATGAAGGCTGAGATATTGCAGAAGGGGTACATCCATGAGCGAAGAAGACAAGGCTTCTTTTCAAAAGCCCTGCGAATGGAGAATGCTATGCCTCCCAAACATTGAATTTAAATTTTAGGCATAACGATACATAGATTAACTAACTAGAAAATGGCTTTTATGTAGATTGCAAGGAGCGAAAAATATTTTGCATCCAAAAAATAACTTAGGAAGCAAAATTTGATAGCTAGCTGCTTCAAAACAGTAACTAGTTCTATTGTTTATGAGAGGTTGCTTCCATCTTCATTGTCATGAAAAGTTATAGAAGAAGAAGGCAGCAAAACTGCATAGGGGCTACATATGTGAGCCAAGAAGACAAGACATCTCCTCAAAGTACTAAGAATAGAAAATGCCATGCTTCTCAACAAACTGAATTAAAGGGGTAATATTTTAACAGATGTTTTTGCTTTGCCTCTGATTTGAAAGCAAAACAGACATAGTTTAACAATTGAGAGAAGTAAATGCTATTTTCTATATTATTAAACTGTGGTGATTTTGCTTACAGAACTAAGCAAAATAAGCAAAGCATAAATAAGATGATAAAATGGCATAAGGATCTCAAAAATTGTGAATGCTACAATGATTTATATGATTCCCATTGGTGAAAATATTATGACCATATGCACTGCAAGCTAGAAAAATCAGGCCCAATATCATTAAAGTTTGATGCCACCAGAATGTATAAATTTACTTACAAACTTTACTCTCTGGGGAACCTATTAACAAATGTCTCCAAGGGTGTCTCTCAACTTATACTTTTTAAATGCTGATTTATTTAACTGATTGTTAAAGAGGGATATTGCTGCCTTGGAATTAATCATATGCTGAGTTTATTTCTGGGGAAAAAGTGTCATAGGATGGAGGAAAATAAAAACATATCCTATGTGTAGGCAAAGCCATCAGAATGTCAGTTTAAAGAAGACTGAACTGGAAGTGACCACGTGAGGTCTTCCTGCTGAAAGTTTGGGATGTGGAGATGAAAATACACAGTCAGCATATTGCCCCCAACAATCTGGGTCCTCATTTTACCAACCTTGGAAGGATGGAAGACTGAGTCAACCTTGAGTGAGTGAGACTCGAACTGCCAAATTGCTGGCAGCTAGCTGGCAGCAGAAATAGCTGCAGTACTCATTATAACCACTGCACCACCTCGGCTCTATAATATAGAGTAGAACAGGGGTGTTCAAACTTGGCCCTTTTATGACTTGTGGACTTCAAGTCCCAGAATTCCTCAGCCAGGTACGCTGGCTGAGGAATTCTGGGACTTGAAGTCCACAAGTCATAAAAGGGCCAAGTTTGAAGACCCCCTGCAGTAGAATATACACTAGAACAGGGGTCCTCAACCCTGACAACTTTAAGACTTGTGGACTTCAACTCCCAGAATTCCTCAGCCATCAAAACTAGCCTAGAATATAAACTGACAGCAAACCCCACTCCTTACTAGCACTAATGATGTTACCTAGTTTGGGTAATGAAACGTCTGCAAGGAAATAAGCAAGCTCAGAGAGCACCAAGGATCCCTCATGTCAACGCTGAGCTACAAATATTCTCCTTTATTAGTAAGAGAATAATTGATACAGATTCCTTGCAATGCATTTCTTTCCTCCTGGGGGATCTTCACGAGCATGACTTGAAACTCTCTTATACCATATGCTTCAGAACAGTAACTAGTTCCATTGCCTATGAGAGGTTGCTTCTGTGTTCATTGCCATGACATGTTATTGAAGACAAAGAGACATTGCAGGGAAGGTACATCCATGAGCCAAGAAGACGAGGCATCTTCTCAAAAGCCCTGAGAATGGAGAACGTTATGCTTCCCAAACACTGAATTAAGAGGTAATATTTTAACAGGTGTTTTTGCTTTGCCTCTGATTTGTAGGCATAATGAAACAAAGTTTAACCATCTACAAAATGGCTTCTACCAGCAGAAATTAAAATGAGACAATAGCATAACATTATAACAATGATATGAATACTTTTATACGTAGATTGCAAGGGGTGAAAATGTTAGGCATCAAACATAAGGGAATAAAATTTGATAGTTCCTTTTTTTCCAATACTTTTTTTCAGTATTGGAGTATAATAACTTCTGGAGGCAAGTTGTTCCACTGATTTTTTTTTTCACTGTCAAGAAATTCTCCTTAGTTCTAGGTTACTTCTCTCTTTGTTCAGTTTGCATCCATTGTTTCTTTTCTTGCCTTCTGATGTATTGGGGAATAGCTTCACCCCCCACTTGTTTGTGGCAGCCCCTTAAATATTGGAACACTGCTATCATGTCATCCCTAGTCCTTCTTTTCATTAGACTAGTTGTACCCAGTTCCTGTATGCATTTTAACCTTCAGCCCCCAAATCATCTTTATCTGTTCACATTGATTCTGTTAACATTCCTATGTTCTCATTGATTTTAGGTAAAAAATATTGAAAGAGAATTTGAACCCATCTCAGAAGAACAGTCTGGAGAACATTGAGCAAACGTGAGATAACCAAAATATCATCATCCAGAAACAGTTCTTTGCATGTCCACAAGGATGAATTGTTTTTGACAGGCTGAAACATGGAGGGGTCCCTTGTAGCTCCTCTTGGATTAACCTCACTCAGAAGTAGACTACAGTGAAGAATTGCCCTGTTTGGAATAAAATATTAGAAGAATCGTGGTCTGATTCAAAGCATCAGGTTTTTAACTTCTCTTTGATTTTTAATGCAAAGAATGGAAACTGGTAAGCTTATGCTCATTTGAAACATGCAATTAAAAGAAGAATGGGGATCTGGAAATTAATATCTTCACTATGTTTTTAGCAATGAACTAATGGCAAATAGGACCACAATAAAGGAATTCACACTGTTGGGGCTGAATGCCAACCCTCCACTTGAAGTTAGCCTTTTTCTCCTCCTGCTTGGGATTTATCTTTTGACATTAATAGGAAACACACTGATTGTTATTATCACACTGGTGAATGTTCAACTCTGTAGCCCAATGTATTTCTTCCTCCGACATTTGGCATGGGTAGATATTGGGTATATGAGTACTATAATTCCCAAAGCACTGGTCAACATAGCTACTGGTACTAAGAGCATTTCTTTAGCTGGTTGCTTCATACAGGTATTTCTTTATTTGGTCCTTGGCACCACTGTGTTCTTCCTATTGGCCACAATGTCTGTTGATCACTACATAGCCATCTGCAACCCCCTTCACTACACAACCATCATGAATCCCCGAATCTGCTCATTATTAGTATTTTCTTGTTTGGTTGCGGGTTTATCACTAATTCTAGTTATATGCATTCCTTTATTTATTATGCCATTTTGTGGTTCTAACGTCATGAATCATTTTTTTTGTGACTATGGACCCCTAATGAACCTGGTATGTATTGACAGGAGCTTCCTAGAAATGACTTTTTTTGTAGTTGCTATATTCATTCTTCTTGGGACTTTAAGTGTCAACATTGTCTCTTATGTCAAAATCATTTCCACCATTTTGCACATTCCATCAACTACTGGAAGAAAGAAGACCTTCTCCACTTTTGCTTCTCACATGACCGTGGTCACTATCACTTACAGCAGTTGTATTTTTATGTATATCAAGTCAAAAGGCACCGTTGGATTAGACTACAACAAAATAGTGGCTCTTCTGAATACTGTTATCGCTCCCTTTCTCACCCCAATCGTGTACTCTTTGAGGAACAGACAGCTGCAGGATGCTTTGAAGGCTGAACTGAGACAAAGGATTGGTTTTGTAAAAAAATGAGATGATTGGCTATTGCTAGGGCTCCAAAATAGATGTTCAGGTTTAATGTCTTTGAATGGATTGTGCTGCCTTCAGATGTAATAATTACCCATTGAGATGGTCTTACAAGGGGATTAGAGAAAGCATAGAGTAGTGGTGGTGAACCTATGGCATGCATGCCAGAGGGGCACTCAGAGCTCTCTCTGTAGGCATGCATGCCTCACTCTTTGGCTAGTTTTTTGTAGGAAAAAAGCCATTTTTAGCTTTGAATTATATCAAATCTGACACCAGAAACAGACCAATGACCTGAGTGCTGCATATGTTGCTTTCAAACTTACAAAGTATAAGCCAAGGTTAGACAAATTATCAGCATGCATACAATAACAAAAATCACATTAATGGTTCAAAAGTATGCCTAATGCAAACTGTTTACCTTTCAATAAAAAATTGTATGTATCATTGAAAACTTTGTTATGGTGTTTTTCTTTTAAGACAAAAGATGTAAATCTATGAGTTGTTTTTTCTAAACTAAAACCTCAGTATTCAGATTAAATTGTAGTGTTGACACTTTGCAATAAATAAGTGGGTTTTGGGTTGCAGTTTGGGCACTCGGTCTCTAAAAGATTCGCTGTCACTGGCATAGAGGATAGATAATCAAGAATGGAAACATCTGATTGACATCAAAGGCCAAGGCTCTGAAAAAATTGGTTTGCTAGTGAAGAACAATGGAAAAAAGACAATTGCCCATATCTCATGGTTGTCCATTTACAAAACACATCTGGTTGCACATTATGTGACCTAGGAGACATGAGAGCGTCACCGAATACATCCTCAAAGCTCTTACCATCTTCAGAAGCAGAACATACAGCCACCATCTCCTGACTGTTTCTTGAGTTCAAGTATGTTTTATTAGTTGGCACTCTGTGTGAATCATATGCAATACAATACAGTACAATCAGATATTTGGTTTTGGTTTACTTATTGAGTCAATGCTGGTGAATGTAGCTATTCCTCTTGATGTTTATCACAGATTAGAATAACTGAACTGGAGAATGAAGCTCAGTGATTATAGAATATCAGCAGGCAATGCTCCCATTGATAAAACTGAATGTAACAGAAAATGCACAATAAAGCCATGAAACATGAGATCTAGAGCTAGAGAATGTTGCCAATATAGAAATTAATGGTTGTAAGGTGCTCATAGTCACCTTAATGTGAGGTGGGCAGTAAATTTGGTTCAATAAATAAAATGAATAAAACAAGTTTCTAATTAAGTGGTTTTGTTGGTTACTTCAATCCAAACCACAAGAATAACGACTTTTTAAATTATAGCATCTTATTTCTCAAGACCTATCAAGAATTCATGCAAAGTTGCTTTGGGATATTGGAGAAAGATGGTAGATAAGACCTCCCTTCCTTTATCTTGCTCACTATGACTCATAGTTCTCATTTATAAAAAAAAAATGGTATCCAAATATCTAGCAAAGGTTGAAAGCAGAGGGAAGTTCTTGAATGTCTCAGAATGCAAGCAAAACTACAGTTAAATAAAAGAAATATGAGTCCAGATCAGAAATGGGCATTGATGTCCAAGTCTGATCATGTTCTGTGATGCTCTGGAATTCTCCCTCAAATACTTTCTGTCTGAATCTACTGTCCGACTGGGAGGCTCATTTTTATTACCAATGGCCAATGGAATTAGACATGGCCAAGTCCATTTGATTCCCACCGTTTTCAATGATTTTTGTAAATGTGTGCTTGAAACACTTGAAATTGATTGAGAACTGATTTGTATTATTAGATCTGAATTGAATAGCTAATCAAATAAATCCTCAACTGAAGTGAAGACATCCCTTGGAACATGCACACAATGGTCTTCTCTGTCTTTCGGTTTGACATCAACAATAGAGGGAGATACAGAATACTTGATACAGATTCCTTGCAATGCATTTCTTTGCACTGAGATGTCCCTGAGGGATCTTCAGAAGTTAGTCTTGAATTCTTCTTATATCAGATGCTTCAGAACTGTAACTAGCTCTATTGAGTATAAGAGGTTGTTTCTGTGTTCTTTGATATGGAAAGATATTAAAGATGAAGGCTGAGATATTGCAGAAGGGGTACATCCATGAGCGAAGAAGACAAGGCTTCTTTTCAAAAGCCCTGTGAATGGAGAGTGCTATGCTTCCCAAACATTGAATTAAGGGGTAATATCTTATTAGATTCTTTTGCTTTGATTTGTAGGCATAACAAAACATTGATTAACCAACTAGAAAATAGCTTTTATGTAGATTGCAAGGAGCAAAAATGTAGTTTGCATCTGAAAAATAACTTAGGAAGCAAAATTTGATAGCTAGCTGCTTCAAAACAGTAACTAGTTCTATTGGTTATGAGAGGTTGCTTCCATCTTCACTGTCATGAAAAGGTATAGAAGAAAGAGGCAGAAAAACTGCATAGGGGCTACATATGTGAGCCAAGAAGACATCTCCTCAAAGTACTAAGAATGGAAAATGCCATGCTTCTCAACAAACTGAATTAAAGGGATAATATTTTAACAAATGTTTTTGCTTTGCCTCTGATTTGAAAGAAAAATGGACATAGTTTAAAAATCTAGAGAAGTAAATGCTATTTTCTATATATAGGTTTGGGATGAGGAGATGAAAATAGAAGCCACTACTTCTTTTCTTCTTCCAAATGCAAGCTAGACCTCTCACTGATGATCATCCCAAAGTTTCATTCTTGGAGCCACTAGTTTATCCAGTTCATGTACACCTTATGAGAAAGATTTTTGTGATGTTTTCAGATAGAGTATGTATTGTGCAATTGTCTATGCATGATTCAGAGGTAGCAACAGGAAGCCACTAGGAATTATGATCAGTTTGGTGACGTTGTCCTCCCATCACTTATATCAGGTATGGCCAATAGGAAACCATAGGAAGAGCTATAAGATCTAGGACCTTAAACTGGAAAAGGACAATTCTAGTTCACATTTGTCCTCAATGGCTTCTAACTCCACCTGTCACAGGTATTATAAGCAGCACAACCTCACTATCCATGATAATTCAGAAATCTATATCTTCCAGTATGCTATGTGAAGTAGCACAGATGATGAGACTCATTCACAGAACCTCAGCAATTATGTTTTCATGGTTAAATTGATTTATAATATAGAATTTCACTTCCAGAGAACCAGTTGGGTTCTTCCTTCTAGAAGACATAGACTTCAGTAAATACATGCCTGAAGAAAAGCCTTAAGTGAAGGCATCATTCTGCCTGTCGATCAAGAAGGCATAACTGACAGCACTAAATAGAAAGATGCAAAACTCCATTGATAGAAGATAGTACAGGAGGGAATGGATATTTTCACATCAATGTCACCCAAGAGATTTCATCTTATTATTGCAAGCTGTGCATGACATAACAGAAATCTATTTTATGGTCAGTGTGTTTTACTTGTACCAATAGAAGAACTGAAAGCCACTTGTGGTAAGTTAAAAGAGTTCCTACATGGTTCTCTTAATGTTCCCCTAGTGTGGTTTTGAGTTCTGCATATTTTGTTGAATATACTTACTTAAAGTATACTTTACTTGGCCAAGTGTGATTTATCTCTGGTGTAGAAGCTCTCAGTGTTTAATGGAGTGGAGTGGAGTGGAGTAGAGTAGAGTAGAGTAGAGTAGAGTAGAGTAGAGTAGAATAGAATAGAATAGAATAGAATAGAATAGAATAGAATAGAATAGAATAGAATAGAATAGAATAGAATAGAATAGAATAGGAGTTGGAAGGGACCTTGGAGGTCATATAGCCCAACTCCCTGCTCAGGCAGGAAACCCTATACCATTTCAGACAAATGTTTGTCCAATCTCTTCTTAAAAACTTTCAGTGTTGGGGCATTCACAACTTCTGGAGGCAGGTTGTTCCACTGATCCTTAGTTCTAGGCTGCTTCTCCCCTTGATTGATTTCCATCCATTGCCCCTTGTCCTGTCCTCAGGTGTTTTGGAGAATAGATTGACCTCTTCTACTTTGTGGCAAGAGGTTTATATACAGGACTGTATCTTTATATACTTACATAAAAAGAAGTATCTTCATAAACTTCTCTATAAAGGCATTCATGCTAGAGTTTTAATATTATAGACAGTCTTTGAACACGAAATATGGGAATGAATAATTTGAGTGAATATCACATAATAGCAGCAATGCCCCCTTCCTCCATAAAAACAAGTTCTTGTTTTATTAAAAACCACACACTCAGTGACTGAAAAACAATGATCCAACCAAAATATATTCTTTTGCAGAGTTATATTTTGAAGGAAGGTTGACCATCAGTTCTCAGTTTCTGCTCCTTGAGAGAAGTCATTTCAGTGCTGGTACATTTCTATCAGAAGAGGCATGAAGGAGAAGAACCCAATCTCTTGACTTCAGAAGGCTGGGGGGATTTTTCATGAGCGGTCTCCAGTTTTGAACTTGGGACTTAAGAGAAGAAGGCAAAATATATATTTTCTAATGACACTAATCTGCAGTGCGTTGTTACTTTGTTTGATTTTTCTCCACTAGCAAATTCACAATGAGAACTAGGACTCAGAATAGCACAACACAAGTGACAGAATTCATCTTAATTGGCTTCCAATTACCTAGGCCCATGGAATTCTTTCTTTTTTCATTGCTTCTGGTTGTGTTTTTCTTCACCTTAGCTGGAAACCTCATGATTATCACTCTGGTATGCATAGACCAACGCTTGCAAACCCCCATGTATTTCTTCCTTTTTAACCTCTCCTTTTTGGAGATATTTTTTGTTCTGACAATCACACCAAAGATGTGATGGATTTAGTTTCTCAGAACAAATCTATCTCTTTCTTGGGCTGCATCAGTCAATGCTATTCTTATTTCTTCTTTGGTACCTGTGAAATCATCCTGATTGCCGTAATGGCCTTTGACCGCTACATTGCTATCTGTCATCCGTTGCGCTACACGATCATCATGAATGGACGGGTTTGTGTGAATTTGATATTGGTGTGCTGGATTGGTGCTTTCATGAATAATTTTGGCCCCATTGTTCTCCTGGGCCAACTGTCCTTCTGCAGCTCTAACGTTATTGATCATTTCTTCTGTGACTATGCTCCACTGATAAACCTTTCTTGCAATGATGTAGATACTCTCCTGACTTTGGAATCTACCCTCTCTCCTCTGGTGTTACTCAGCTCTTTGTGTGTAACTTTTATTTATTTATTTATTTATGAGACTTATATACCGCTTTAAGTGCAAGCACTCTCTAAGCGGTGTACACCAGTAAGCAATGTATATATATATTTACATTGCCCCCAACAATCTGGGTCCTCATTTTACCTACCTCGGAAGG